CTGCCTGTCTGCATAGGTGTTTTTCTTCAACCTTTTTGACAATTCTCCCAGGCAGTGGCTGATGGGGCAGATGTGTCTTCCTCGGGGGAGCTTTTGCAGTCTTTCTGATACCACAGTTTATACTGTGAGAATAAGTAGATGTGATCGCTGGGACAATAATTTTATTCGCCTGACGTTTCAAAATCCGTCGCGCATCCATCATCAGAGAGACGGTAGCAGAAAGGGGTCAGGGTCTCCTGGTAGCATAATTTAGCGAAAAAATGGGCGGGATATACCTATGAACGATAATGGGTTATCTGAACGATAGTGCGTAGATGGTCTTTCTTGGTCACCTCAAAGGGGAAGAAGGGGGTAACCTGTCCCTATGTTGAGTCATGAAACAGCGCATGGAGAAAGTAGGGTTTAAATTGCCTAGCTGAACGTAAAGGGTCGCCTTCGTAAAGGAAGGTTCAATGCATGCGAAAAAGCAAGTGCCGCTCAGTAGTAACGGCGTAAGCCGCTCGGTAGTTCTTTTTTGCTTGACAGACATCGAATGCAGACAGAGACGAAGATACTTCGGGCACAAAGGGCGTGGTACATGCAGAATGTACAGTAAATTACTTACCTCATGAAAAGTCAACTGAATTTCTAAAAGTTTTATTTTCGTTTTCAAACTAATTACTTAAGTGGAATTGTAAAACTAATTGTCGTAAAGCCTAATTTCAAGAGAAGCCGGTATAACTAGCTAAGTAATTAGTATGCATTTGTATAATTGTGTTTCGAGGCCCTTATGAATTCAAATATATTTTACAGAAGGCACACATAAAAATATTCCTTCTTCTCATTTAGAAGCAAATTACGTCTTCTTCAAATGTCATACTTCACGAAAGAATAACTTAGTTGGAAAAGAGTTTCTGAATTGCCGAATAATTTTGAATTCTACCGGCCGTCACAATTCAGTTCGAGATTTCCGAACTACATACTGTAAACATCCTGTCTAAGGAAAAGTGCCTATTTCCCTACTGTATGAGGAAGATTTCCGACAGTTATCAGAATACGTTGCACTGTATTTGGATCTTGCTGCAGACCTTAGAGGCCATATTAATAAATTGACGCATAAGATGTATTGGGTACGAACCCTTCATGGTTGTAGAAAAATCCCAAAAGAGGAACATTTTCGTAAACCCTGAGGTACCTCTTCTTCAAAATATAAAATTTGAATTTATGAGGGCGTGTAAACTCGGGGAGAAAAATGCGTATTAGAGCAGCTCTTT